AAGACAGTTGTGGTTGGAAAAGGGTAAAGTAGCTAGATAGTAACAGAATTTGTATCATGTGCTGATGCTTTATCTTATCCTCAAATATGTCTTTATAGTGTAAAAGTTTGTTGGTTTCAACGTGAAGTTAAACAGTTCAAATGAACACGGAATCTTTTGACAATTTAAATGTTGCAGAGGAAAGCTGACTGTAGAATGTATGCATCATTTACTTATGTCCATTTTGAGGATGCTCATATGTGAGATCTGCTTTACTGGACTAGGTGGCAATCTCACTTCCGAAAGATTCAAGAGAATAAGTGTGCCTACTCAGCGCCATTTCACGCGAATATATAAATTTTGATGGTGTTGTCTTCACTGAGCTGGATGATTAAATCGTAGAGCTTTCGTCGTCACTCTAGACAAAATCAGGGATTTCTGAAGTAATTTACAAGTATAATTTCAGTGCATTTCCAACAAAACTGTCAGGCATTTCATCAATTGAAAGTTATCGCTGTGGATGAAAATCACAGTATGCTGTGATAACGGTGAAATATATGGTCATGATGACATGATCAAATCATGTGTAAAATTGTCACATCATCTAATGTCACCAAACACCAACAACACTGATAATGAAAATCCTCTGAAAGACGTTATAATTCAGAGTTGATTATCACAATACACTGAGATCGACACTAAATAAGAGTGTAAGTCACACATTTGAACCAAATCATTCTATACAAGTTCACAAACTTATCAGCTGACTAAACTACCTTAACCCCCTGCACCCACATCCTACAACGTACACTATGGTAAAACATGTATCTATTGCTCCCCGACTTTCATTTCAGCCTAGACTAAAAGGGGAATTGTGAACAATTACTACTCACCTAAGATAAGAATATGTTATCGAATCATTATTTCGCTAAGAGATAATTCGATGAGTAAGCGAACTCTCCACAATTCATACACATCGTATACGCAACACCCACAGCTCATATACATAACATCCACTACCAACATCAGCAAACATAATTAACAGCAACTTGTTGCCAAATTCCAACTTTATCTATTTCTCATCTGTGGCTACTCCTTTCATTATCAACTGACCGAATTCAGTACTATAAGTGAATGAAATTGGTCTCACATTTGTATGACAAGTTGTTAAGACCATATATGACTCCAATCTTTACATAATATTCCCGAGGTACTGTCGCTTTACTTATTATCAGAAATACCACTGATCCACCTGTGGCAGGCAGTGTGAAAACAGAAGATAACACGAAGTATTAAATGGGATGTTGCAGAGACAATGTATCAAAAAAATTCAAAGGCAGCATGAAGACGATTGAATGTTTTATGTGGGGATAAATAAGCAGGTGTTAAGTTACAAGGTAAATGTTAGTTGTTTCAACGAATAAAACAGGAAATATCTGCTACAGAGTCAAGGATTCATTAGTGATTTCATTATATCCACAGATGACATACATCGACTTGATAACATCAGGTGAAAAGCCTGGGTTGGTGGAAAAGTAATTCAAGTCAAACACATGATAAGCAATGTTAACGTCAATAACACTTTGTCTGAAATGAAGGCTGAAGAGCGAGTGCAATATGGAAAGCACATGAGAAGAATAGTCGTTTATCGATATTGCACACATCATTTGAAGTTGTTCGCATGCAAAGTAAGACTGGTCGATTCGATTTGGTAAGACAACCCATCAAAAATTACAGGTACCAATCAATGACACCTGAGAGCCATTCATTGGCCAATCGATAGCTATCTTGATCCAGTAGTCTTGTGGCTAACTATCTGATATTTGAAGTGATGCGTATTCAGTTTCAGGGTCAGTAGTAAACACCATAACCTACAGGTGACAGATGTTAAATAGCACAGAATGTGTCCTCTTCATTGTCGTGGTAGTCACCATCAAGCAAGTAACTTCAAATTACTAATCTCAACACCGACTCCATTCTGCATCTCACTTCCACGAAACTGCTTTCAACACCTAGTCGTCACAAAGGATGTACACACTTCAATGTTGTGGAAGAACAATTCCCTCTACCGTAAAACTTGACATTCAATTCACAGAGGTCAATACACTCCTGCTTCTATTTTTCACAACTCATTTCATTTGACAGCAATACATGAAATTACATGACCTGAAACTTATCATATGATGTGACCCACAGTTGTGTGATGCATGTGTACGGTATTTCTAAAACACTGTGAAACAAACTCTACGTGATCATTTGGTGATATTCTGGGTCAATTGTTGATTGTACTGGTCAAAAGCACGAACAGACTAAAATAAGGTTTTCTCTACAATTTATTTAATAGCTAGTCATGATGACCTTATGTGTGATTGTTTGTTTCTACTAAAACCTCGTCATTGTCTCCATGTTTATTCTGATTAGTTGTCTTGATGACCTAAAATCTCATATTCTGGTTGATAGATTGGATCAACGTATGTTTGTTAACTGCTGGATAAGCTTCTAAAAATTCTCTGTAATCTATCTATCCGACATCTTCACATTTTCCCAGTCAAACTCACCTTCACACTTTTCCATATGCTGAGCTACAAATATTCTCCATTATCTCACAATACATGCATGCTTCTTATTTTTTACATTGTGCTCGTTCATCGACTGATTTCCATCTTTCTCTGTTCATTAAATGTCAACAGAGACCTACGAATACACCGAACACAGGATCACACCCAGTGTAGATGTCAGAAAGGATTAAGAGCACAGCGAAATATTGCATGATGAGCAAATTCCATTCAGCTCTGATAGGATAAATATTGCCACCTGATAATAATGAATATACACTTCAAACAGATCTTTTCTCTTATATATTAAAGCTGCATTCAAATTCACCTCTTTTCGCCTTGTCATCTTCCTTCATCTCAATACTTCACAGATATCACCTCTGTTCACCTCTACAAAATATTCGACAGTCGATTGTCTGCTCTACTGACTTCCTACAAAAATGTCACCTCATATACTAACCACTTAGACACATTCTCTTCAGTAGCTTACATCTCATCTCTTCCCTACTCCCACTAAAATGTCAGACACTCACATCTGCTAATTATCGATTCCATTTATCCATGACATTGCACGTATTCATGACACTAGTCGACACTCACGAGTTCATCTCTATCGACTTTCGCGTTCGTGTAAACTGACTGCACTGTACCTCTCACTGACCACCTATGATCCCATCCACTTTCGGAACAGTTCACTTGGTGCTGTGGCACCTCTACTCGTGTACTTTCCTTCTCTACACTACAAGTCATCCCGAAACTCGAATACTTCTCATTTGTAAACTTCCTTCTACTCGAACTTCTCGATGTCACTGTGCTGATTATCCTCACGAACCCTAATGGCTTACTACCACTCCACATCCCATCACATCCTACCCCATGTCTGTTGCTGAAAACATATTCTACTGTGCAGTGTTATCTACAGTCTCCTATCACAAATCACCTAGAAGGCTTACCTCTTACTTATGTTTTGTATGCAGACACAACATGCTAATAGAACTAATCCCAAACATGTCTCTTAGCCACCACCCTTCGATACAAACCACTCCACCACTGTACACTCATTCCTATCTGTGAAACCAATCACCTATCATTGATTTGATTTCGTCTGCATCCCTATGATATCCAGCTATTGAAGGTGGCATTTGAATTCCTTGCTCATAAAATGCAGACTCTCTTTCTCTCTCTCTCTCTCTCTGACTAACCAGTCAATATCATCTTACACAAACCATGTTCAGCAACAGCATTTTTGAAAATCATCTCTCTCAATGTCTTTGAGCGGTGGTCTGAAATCTCCACAGCAGATAACCAACATGTTGCATGCAGTAACCAACAGTGAGGTTTCAACTCAGTTATCGGAAATCAACACAGAATCCATTCTTCCCACGCTATTACGAATTCAACGATAACCCTATTCGATATCACCTCTACCTGTCAGTTAACATCGTCTACTAGCTGGCATAGGACTCAACGCCTGAAAAAGCTTATTGTGATGAGTTATCATTGTCCGTACAGAAAGGCTATGCATGATTAAGTTATCCGGACTTGTCGAGAATAACTGTCTAATGTGTGGGGATATTGCGATTGATTACAGCTTCTCTCTGCTACTTCCAATCCTCTCATATTCCCAATGGCCATTTGTCAAAATAAACTGAATGCCTGTTACTGTCACAAAACCGTAGTATTAATACCTGATGCTGCGCCGCAGCACACTCAGATCACACAAGGTGTACAATGAGAAAGTGAGGCAGTCTACCGCCAACTCATAAGCATCTCTCAACATCTACACACACACACATACACACACACACCACCATAGTTCACTCACACAAAGGAAGCTTCCACATGAAGAATACTCGCAAAACAATGCTCACAAACCACTTTCTTCATTCACACTTCTCACAAACATCGGAAATCGCACGTCAAAATATACCTGTGAAGTCCTCTACTTTTGCCTTCTCCACCCCTCTGTTACCAACATCTACATATCTCTAAATAAGATGGGATGCAATCAGACAGTCGATAACATGCTCCACTATACCTCACTACATACATTCATTACAAATCATATCATTGATAATCAACACATTGTTATCTGCTAACTCACGGATTCCTACATCAACCAGTATGGAAGGTCGGATGAATCGCACATGTCACCGACTGCAATTCAATTCATTCATTACCATCCCTCCACTAACCAGTCCTTAGACTGCAACACACACACACACACACACACACACACACACAATACCCGTCACCCTTACACATCATCTTCACTCTCTTCACATAACTCAATACAGTCAGTCTCGGTTAACCACTTACTTATGTAGACACATACAACACTCACAAAGTAATCACGGTTAGTACGTTTCCGATGCCTCATGCTCATACCCATACCCGTACCCATCTCAACATTATTTACACAAATCCTTAGAAGAAGAAGAAGAAGAAGAAGACAGCAGACAGAAGTGTTAGTGTAAATCCACTTTTCTTCAAACAAATCTCTAATCCATGGTATCAAAGCAATTGTAGTAGTGTGATATCAAATTGTTAGAAAAAACAAAACATCAAGATCATCAGTGGTGCATGTGTGTGTCTGTCATCCTACTCAAGAGTTCTTAATTGAAATCGGCATCGAAATCACCTTCGTTTGAAGGTAACCATCGATCGCTTCCTTCCCACTGAAATGAGAAAGATGCATAGATTAACACAATGTCACATATAGCAGTATTAACAGCAACAGCAACAACAACAACAACACACTTGGATATCGGTTACACAATAGAAGAGATGGTAGGTGTATTATCAACTGAAAATAATAACGAGGAGATTGAGTGAAGTAGAAATTTAAATTCAATTGTTGTCAGTTGTGGTTATTCGAATGATAAGCTTCCGAGTAACATCATAACAATCGAGAACCAATCTGCCAATCATCTCCTCCTAGTAAACTCATGCATCTCTTGAATACGCAGCAATAGAATTACTTCATGAAAATCAATCCACTACATGTTTGTGTATCACATCTCAGTACAACAGTTCATATCTCACGTCTAACTAATTAGGTGAAGAGATTTTCAACTTGCACATCACTATCCTAAGCATTCAGTCATGAGATGAAGGGTAGTCTTCGAAATCGACTTCACTTCACTAGCATTTATCACATGCCCCTTCACAATATCCATGCTCCACAGCTTAGTGCACTCATCTCTACTGCATTCCGATGTACAGTGTATACACAATTCATCATGTACGGTACACTGTTATGGCGAGTCATGGCATGATGTTCAAGTAGATAGTAATGAATTTCAGGTATGTCTACCATTGCAGTTGCACATCGTAATTTAATCACTCACACATCTCCGACATTTCTCAAACGTCAACTTTTCAACAAAGTTCACTCATCCAGTCGGAACAGTCAAATTGAGGGAATAGATTGCATCAGGAACGTTCCAACTTTTGAACATTAGACTGCAACAATCCACTTTCACCGTCTTCTAATGAATACTCTTTGACTCCCAAAACATGGTACAGTGCATACTTATTCCTTGAATAGGTAGGTCATCGGTGATATGAATTGCAGTTTCATTCACATGTTCTTTAGCCACATTCATTTCGCTTCGCTTCAGTGCAGCCGCACTCACCATCCAACTATCTGAAGCCTAGACAAGAATTCACACACGATATCTCATCTCACCTTTCTCCCTCCAACACTAAGTAACTACAAAATGTGTTGGTTGGAACACTAAAACAATTATCAAGCAAATCATCTACACAATAACTTACAATTCACGTCCTATACCAGACATTTTGAAACCACCGAAAGGAGCTTGAGCATACACCACATTATAACTATTGATCCTGTAACCAAAAACAACAACATCAATTCAAACAAAACACAATATGGTAGACCTGAATCATGAGTCATGTGAGAATACTGAGACATTGTGAAACAGAAATCGTCAACACTAACTACTCACATATGGAATCAATGTTGGCCAACACTACAGACGAAACATGAGATGCCACAATTCACAAGTATATGCACGTAAGGACAGAAAATGAAGTGACTCATGGGATTGAAGAACAATTTGTCAATCACGCCGTTTTTAAAGACCAATGTCTATATGACATGAACACTGAAACAGTATGAATAACTCATTGATTATGAGTGTTAGCTTATTAAGTACTGAAAACACACCTTCACAAATTAATTTCTCTGGTGAGTAGTGATGGGTAGTAGAAAGGAGCGAGAATGTGATAAGCATTCATTGAACGGTGTCTTAGATAAGCTTGACTGAGAACTGACAACAACAACTTTCATTCATGAAAGTCGATTCTCAAACACTAATGACAAATGCAAGGTAAGAGTAGAACTGGAACATTGTTGCACTATATGACTCAGGATCGATAAACATTGGTCGACAGCATCCCATCACATTCCTGTACACAGTCTGACCTTAAAAGCCTAAGTCAATCTCTCTTCGATAACATCAGTGAAGGCGTTTCCACAAATCGAGTCAGATGTCTGCTTGGCTGAGAGGTCAAACAATTCATCAGACAAATACACAAACATAGCTATTGTTGAACAACTATCCCTTAAAGTCTATTTAGAAATTCAATGCAGCTGATTATAAAAGGAAAACAACATGAGCACTGACTTCAATATGACTGGGATGTGTGTAGGCAGTTACTCCAGTTACTCACTGGAGCTCAATCCACCCACCATCAAGCACACAATGACTATTGAATGTCGACTGTTTAAACTTGTCGATTCATCACAATTCTCCCACTCACATGATTGCTGCATCAATTCACTTACTCAATCCAGCTACGCTTGGATACACGATTGATTTCAAGGAAGACTTCCTCACAGATTCCCAACAGTTGAACAACTGTTGAACACCTTCACTCACTCTTCCTTTCAAAGTCCTCTAATATGTAATATACAATGCAGTGACTGTGATTTAATCTATTTCCGTCTAAGTACTCGACTGAGGTCAGTCACAGCACCAAAATATGCAACCAGTCTAGAGAAAAACTGAACCATTACTACAAATCCACCTCAACATAGACCTAACCATTATCACTATCACTACCGTTACTATCCATGCACCAACACAGACACAAACACACACACACACACACCTACATACACAATGAGTAGAGACAAAGTGACAGTCGTGAGCAAAGGACTACTATCAACCATGTGAAGATGAAATAAACACTATGTTGCAAACAAACATTCACTTAAACACAATAGAACATTCGATTTGTAATGGCCTTGCAATGACCAATTAAGAATTCACAGTCCAAACAGTGTTCAAATGTTCAGTTTGAGACTGGACAAGGAATGAAAACCAAACACTAACCACCATGTGAATACAACCAAATTGAAAGCGAAAATATTCGACACTAAACAAGCACGCAACCAATTATGTCAACTGACAACCGAATAATTCTCATCGCTTTATGATTTACACAAAGTATGTTATTGCGAAACTCATTTCATTGTATAGATGGATAAATAATTCACTAAGTTTTTCACATCCTATTAACAGACATCCTAATGATTCCAGGTATCATTGTCTACATTCTAACTCCCACTGAATGTTTACATTGAAAATGACAAACACTTTCACCATCTTAATTTTATTGTCTTCATATAATACACATATGATTTATCTGTCTGATTTCGTGAGTTTATACTTTCTCACATGCACCAACCAACCGATACAGCCAGTCAATCGAGGCAGGAGGTTAAACAAACAGTCAAATGATCATTCATCATCATTAGAGCACGAAAGGGTGGTCAACATATGATTATATCACATGTGAGATTCTGAGTGTAATTAACTGCTTACTACACACTTTCAACTCATGTTGCAACAGTATATAAGCCACAAACATCACTAACTCTCAGTAGTCTCTCACTTCACTAAGTAGTAGACCATAACGTGAAGAAGTGGTGAACAATGTTGAGACAAAAATCTCATTCAAATGCTGCAATAACTCAGGTGTGCGTACCGATTGAAAGTATCACTGCAATGCAACAATATGAGTGGCTTTTGAGGTCAACAAATGAAAATATGTTTCAACTGAATGGAGAGTAGAAACACAATCTTGAAATAACAGTGTGTTCTAGTGAATTCCGAAAATCCACGAGTTCACACCACAAATCTCATTTACGGGATTAAAGTGACTAGAGATAGGACAGCAGTCGTGCTGCTCACAACAACTGAGGAACTAGCTGTCTAATAAGTCAACCAATTAGATGGTATGCAAATAAATCTAACCAAATGAGTTGAAATCAGCAAACAAGTCCAATAAAATAGCATCCTGTCAATCACTCACCATTAAGGTGTACTTATCAAGGTGGTAGATGCATGGTGGTCATTCTTGCCTCCTGTCCACATTATCCTCTGAATGACAACAAACTACTCCTCACATCCACAAACAAACTGATGAAACATCGCAATTTTAGATTGTTCTAAGATAATAATAATAACAATGAAATACATTTCATGAAACATATCTTATTCATGTCACCACTCCCAAACACCACCCCACAACCCTATCATACTCGCCAATTACGTATCAATCAATATCACTCATCTTACCAGAAACTTCCAGCTTCCACGCATTGAGCAACTCTCATCGCTTTATCCATATCCCTGGTGAAAACACCACCACCCAATCCATAGTGGGTAGCATTCGCACGTTCAATCACTTCTTCCAATGTCTCGAATTTCAAAATACACTGAACTGGACCGAAAATCTCTTCTCTCGCTATACACATTTCATCCTTGACATCTGCAAACACTGTCGGTTGAATAAAATAACCCTTTGCACCAACTCGACATCCTCCCGTAACCAATCGAGCACCTTCCACCTTCCCTTTCTCAATGTACGACATAACTCTGTTGAATTGTATTTTATCGACCTGAGGAAATCAATAAAATATTGTAGCATCTCACACTTAAGAAGTTCACACAATCTGGTGTTGTCTATCAATCGGAAACAACCATCATTCCTGACCTAGGTTTCAGGCTCGGCAACACCAATCAGCAAGATACACTTGAAAACCTAACAGAATTCCTGTCTACTCAAAGATGCTAAACGGTGTTGTTTATTGTCGATAATTAGGACCATTGAACCACCCAGTAGGTGCTCAATTCGAGCCTGAATCCATACTCAACTGCGTTTTCCCCCTGCGAAATTCGATCAGGCATACGTTCCTGAAAACTCAAACGCGAAATTTCGCTCCAGAATTACTCTTCACTGATGTCCTGTCTAGTAATATGGAGTGGGCGTGTTAACCACTTCACTTGTCTGGGAAGTCGGTTCACCTCTAATCGGTCGATCAGTGATCGACGAAATCTCTGTGTGGCTACGCACGCTTCGCTTGGCTTTCGTCAACTCACGCCAATTGTGGCGGTGACATGATATCTCAGTGTTTAATAATGGTCGATTCTACTGCACCACACTTTGATCTGTTCTTCTTTACCACTCTAAAGCATGACCATCAAACGGAAAAGTGAAGAACATAAGAAGGCTTTAGATGTTCGACCATCACTGCCTTATTAGCACAATCTGTGTCATCGTGTCAACAGATCAGAAATGCGGAGATCAGGTGTACAATGTTAAGATTCCATCTTCACTCACCCTCCATAGAACTACCTTCACCTTACTACAATGATTCCTTCCAAAACTGACTTACTCTTACAAATGTGTACACAGACTTTGTGAACTCGACAATAACTGGTGCATTGTTCATCGAATTCAGGTGCTCAATATTGATCGATTGTGTTTCACAAACTCAGCTTCTATCTTCCACAAATCCCTGCATTATCTGATTATCTCTCACAACTCTATATCCACTCCTATCTATCTTATCACTGTGCACAAACTTAGTGTGAAACAAACGAATGCGAACTACATAAGAGAATCACCAGTTGGGAGACAGTAAATCAAGGTCATCATCGAAATTACCTCTCAGTTTTCAGCTCACATGATGATACCATTCCATAGACCCTGTACCAATAAAATATATCTTCATCATCATTATTAGATTAGATAGCGTCTAGTATCTGTTTCATTCCACTCAAACTACAACAAACTAACACACATAGACGACTGGCTGCAACATAGCTGAACGTGATGGAAAAACTCAAGTGTTGGGAAGTCAATCAAATTGGAATCATCCATCTTTAGGGGCACACACACACACACACACAGTGTTGAACAGTGAAAGTCTCAGTAAGAGAGAGATATGCTGGCTCACTTCCTTCTTCGCCCTAAACTAATCTAACTACTTTAACCAAACAGTGGCGTAGACCGATTTCGAATGAATCTAAGGGCCACTACTATAACAACCAGTCCTATAGCAACCAATTGGCCTCCTCTGTTTTCTCTAAAAACACCTACCTCCCACCTATCTCACTATTGGTTGCTGAGGTGGCCTTCATCATCCCTCATCGATTTCACCTAAATTATCAAGCGATTCTAAACGCCACTCCAACAATGACTGAAGTAACCAAGTAGACTTGCTCATTTCATATAACTCTGCATTCCTAGTTGAAATAAATAAATCGAATTGGCCACTTCAGTTGTTGCTCGGGTGGCATTTCTTCAGTCAAATTACTTTCTGATCCTTCATAATATGTGGAGTGATGGATTGGCTCGATCGAGAACATGGAATTGTGAAAATGTGCAGAAACGGAAAATAACGTGGAGACAAGAAATTCACACACAATGTACATTCCGAAAACTTCCTCCATTGCTCCATTCCACTAACATCGACATTCTCATTCAAGGTTGAAACAACTGAACAACTGAACAAGTTTCAAAGGTCATCTCCCATGTCGAGTCTCACACTACAGGTCATGAACTGAAATATATATCCTGGCTACGGTGTGACAATGGAGTTTCGTCAGTTAACCCACCCGCCCTCCAATCAACATATCTTCCTACCAATATAAGTTAATCTGAGCAACACATCACTCATTTGTACAGATAACTGATGGTGTTCTATAACACTTACAGCACCACATGGAACATGACTACAGCAAACTGACAACCACCAGTCTGTGTTCTCAACGTCAATACCGACGACATTTCCGCACATTTTACACAACAGAAGCATTAAAACTAGGCAGTAATAGTACTTACCTGTGGACCTTGTATCGTATCAGACACAAAAGGATCTCCAACCTTCCGATTCTCCGCCAACTTCTTAAGTCTGTCAACCATCTCTTCATAAATAGCAGCCTGCACAAATACACGACTACCAGCTACACAACACTGTCCATGATTCACCATTGTAGCCTCATGCGCCACTTCTGCAGCCTTCTCAACTGAAAACAAACCACCCGACAAACAACATCAGAGATGGAGTCAGTCATTATCAAGTGAAATGATGAATCATGATAATTTAGTAGCCTCGATAAGGAAAGGATGCATGATGATTTTTCGAGGTGGTAAACGTATTCCCTTGCAGAACTCCAAGTGTCAATTCATCAAAACTAACATCTTCATGTACACTAGACACACTTCTATGTGCACAAATCAGAGTGGAACACATTCTGACCAGCACAAATGAGTGACAATTCAAATCTCATGCTGATTAACCACAGCAATCGAAGAAAGAGGAACAGACTGCTAGACAAAAACTATGCAAGTAACCACCAACAACCCAATGTCATCTCGATTACAGCTGAGAGAGGTGAAGTAACTTTCGCATCATTAGTGAGTACTTCTACCCAGTCTGTAATGTGAGTTCAAAAACTTACAAATAGCACAGAGCGAATTGAAGGTGTTAATTAGAAACAAATAAGAAGGAGAATGGAAGCATGTGGAACACTTCACTGAATTCATGATATACCACTTAATATATGTAAACTCTGACTTACGACGAATTCCACCAGAATTCAGGTGTTTCATGCATTGTCGTCATATCTTCGTCAGCTGCACGTTAGGATTATTCCAGCATGATCACACTTTATACAAAAGTGCTCACAACGTCTGTTTGCAAGTATTCCACCTATCCAACCTACATTAAACACATTGTTCTTATTGACATCAACGAACAGACGCAACACGTGTAACGACGCGTTTCCCAGTCACCTCAGTCAATACACATTCACATGCTTATCAACTCGTCCTGCTCCTTTACATGTGTCTTACGAATTCAACGACTACGTCACACAATCACACACATTCAGCTACCGCTTACTACTATATCCTTAAGATAGGAGTGTTTGCATTCCATGATAGTCCTCGCCTGACACAGCCATCTCGTTCATAGCCAAATCCAGGAAGGAAGGAAGGAAGGAAGGAAGGAAATGTAGTGGCCGGCTCACTAATAACTAGACGATTCAAGATATTAGCAAGTGAGTTCAGTGTTTCAGTTCGTCCTTCATTAGTAAGAAATGATACACTGCCTACGATCTCACAAACTGACAGTACTGGACTTTTCAATCATCATTTCTCTGTACACTCCACTTAGACACTGATTATAGTACATTAACATTCATCAACTGTCAGCTGTAGTGTTTGAACAGGAAGGCAGACATTCGATTCAACAATCATTGACTCAAATAGACTAGCCACTTTCCAAATGCTGCCCATTCCCCTTGACAAACCAATACACAACACTCTCCAAAGTTTCTCTATGTCGGTCGCGTATACACTAAAGCACTTCCCACCATGTTGACCCGAATCCAGTTGTCAACATCCCATCGATTCGGTGACTTATCAATCCGAATTTCCAATTGTTGATTGCATTCATTAGTACTAAATTCACATGCATCACCCGTGCATATTATAACACAATACAACACAGTTATAGTGTATAAACTGAGGAACATTCACCTGATGCAAATGATAACCACCTATCTTGTATGTGTATGTGTACATATTCTTCAACAAACAATAAATTGTGCATTGGATAGACACAAACGACAATTTAACCTACTATCTTGACCATCTTAAATATGAATACGAATAAATTATGCATGCATTCAACATGCATTCAATTGATCAAAAAGCAAGCAGAAAACATTCAAAATCCTAAAATCATTCTACAGTCAAGTGAAAATATGAACTTCTGGTTGAAATCAACAAAGTTCTACACACCATTAAGCGTATTTGACAATAACATAAACTATTGGTATATGATAGGAGTTTTGCCACAATCCAACCTCTCTCTCTCTCTCTATCTCCCCTTTAACCACAATTAGCATCATCCATATGCGTGTATCAATAGTACTTACTGGTTGACGAACATTTCCACACATATGCTGACATCGTAATCAATGCATATATTCATGTGATGAAGTTTGTATGAACTGATAATTTCACAGTAGTGTACATCACAAGTGGAACAATCAGTGAAAAACAGAACGTTGATCATTACATGATCAGCATCTCAGCTAACTAACAAGTAGTGATGTGGTGACTGTCAGTGACTATGTAGAGACTACTACGACTGATAGTAACACCCGAATCACTAAACTTCAATGGGAAGACAATTTCACTGGCTCACAGTCGAGTGGTGAACAAGTTGACCAACATACTCGTCACCAGTCAACTGATAATCGTAGTAGAAAATCTCAACATTCATGAATATTTACATTACAAAGCAACCCAGTCTTCAGCGTGATATGTGTTACATAACCAACCACCTTGTCCTGCAGTCATTGAACACACTGACCTGGAAAGTAATTCCATAAATAAGAGTTTCACTGTTTTCAGATCGTAGAAGACACAAGTTTTACTTCCCGGAAATTATAATATTCCACACCATACACAATACTCAGTGATACCAGTGAACAATGCTCATAATAACATGATCACTTCCACTCTCCAAAAATCTCATCAAATCCGAATCACATTCATATTGGATTTGTTTACTTGGTGTAAAGCACACAGAGAGTGATACAGCATTATGTATTTACTTGATGACATCTTCAGTATAAATTATTACTCATAATCATATCAATGTGACATGCTAATCAGCAATAATAATTTATGCTCGAAACGTCATCAAAGTAAATAAATAATACTGTACCACTCCCTGTGTGTTATACATGAAAAAAGCAAATCTAATATGAAATTACATTCTATCATAGTGGCCAAGTTTCACACTGATATTTGAATCCTATAATCTAAAGTCACGACACACCAACGTTGAAGATATTCAGGATCCATCCGGAGTGGTCATAATTCCCCACATTTCCCTCATTAGATGCTCAACATTGGCATGTGACACCTGCCACACAAACCAAGGTGTGACATCGTATAGATTCCTCCATTTCACACACACACACCTACCCTACCCTATGGTCTTTATATACCGATATCTGTTGAGGTAAAGAGTCGAATTTCTTACATCATAACTAGTTATGATGCAACATATTGAAGGTGGAGTTGGTTCGCAATGTGACCAGTCAAACTCATCAAACAAATCATTCAATGTGAGCTCACACATAAACCTATCCACTCTTTCACCTTATTCGTCTTTCTCTCTAAGAGCTTTATGATACACACCAGGATGAAACAGTCATCCATTCCTCTCTGTATTCATTACTGCTGCAAATGACGTCGATTCGTGATGAAAACAATTCATGAACAGTGAAGACTGATCTTCAAAATGATAGTCCACAAAATATCACAAACCATGCATGTCATTCCAACACACCACACACCACACATCCCATCCACAACTCTTACAGACATCACCTCAAAAGCAAATACAAGACAAGACACTTACTATCTGCATCAGCAAATATAATCAACGGTGACTTGCCACCAAGTTCCAACGTCACGTGTTTGATATTTGTGGCTGCTGCCTTCATGATTAACTGACCGACTTCAGTACTACCAGTGAATGAGATCGCTCTCACATCCGGATGATGAGTCAATGCTTCACCAGTGATTTCACCAAATCCACAAATGATATTGACTACACCAGGTGGGAAACCTAAATCAATGGAAAACAAACTTCAATCATACATGCACAACAGGCAGTGATTTCTTCACAATAGAAATTACACCACTAATAACACCAGACACCACGTAAACGGCTGCTTGTTTGAATCTTCGGCTACCAAGTTTTCCACCGAACATAAACTAGAATCCTCATTCATCATCTCAAAAATACACATCCATTTCAATCCTGTTGTCGTCGTTTACATACGTCTTCTAAACGTATCATGTGCTCTTGCGCATTTCCCATGTTTTCAACTCGCCATTTATCGAGTTAATAACAAAACAGGGGAAAAATATCACGTTATATAGAAGTGGACTTTTGCATGTGCGAAACTACATCACATTTTTATCCCATGGATATTAAGGTCGACTTGCAGATTCTTGTACAGACTGACTGACTGAACCACCACCACCACCACCACCACCACTCCTAAACTACTCATGCTCGTATCTCTGTTGCTTCTTCATTCTAGACTGAACGTTAATCCAACACCAGTTGGCTGTTTCACATTATTGCCTTGAATAATACTGTTATTATTGACATCATCATTCAGATGCAACAACTATTTCGTCTGAAATTACTGTTCTGGGAGTGACTTGAAAGATTACCTACTGAGAATTGCATTCCGTATCATACTTATTGTTTGGAATAAAGTGGTTATCATCATTATTGTTATTGTTAATTGTATGAGGGGAAAACTGAAGACCAAACGCAATATAGATATCATGAGGGAAGATTGCTCACTTGTCGATTTTCCAGATACCCTTTGAAGTTGTCCGCATGCAGTGCAAGACCCCTCATTTCACTTCAGTGAAATAATCACTTGGAAAATGCAGGTTTGTATGCAGAACAACTGAATGCTCACTTCATTCATTACTCCACTGAATAATGTCTACACACTTCAAATAGTGTCTGCGTGAATCAATGGTCAGTGTTCAATACTGTAATCCTCTGACATACAGGTAAATCCAACTGACTGATGCATCGCGAATAGGACAGATCGTGCGTTCTCCAGTCTCGTGATAGTAGACACCACCAACCAAGTTACATTAGATGACTTAGTTCATAACAGACTCGATTCTCGTTTTCACATCGGCAAAATTGCATTCTACGCCTATTCACATCAACAAAATTTCACGTTTGAACATTCATTTCACAGACTTCAATCCACCAAAACCACTACATTCTGGATCATTTTCAGGACTGATCTCATCTGATACATATGCATGGAATTACAAAATTTAAAGCTAATCAAGCGACATGACCGACTGAGTCATCGAACACGTATCATCCTTGTGTGAATAATTGCTCAGCAAGATTCGATTTCAACCTCCCACGGTAAACCAGTTCACCAGTTTACTAGACGGTCATCAGCCCAGATAAAATGTGAAGCCTGGGCATAGGTCTAGCAACCCCACTCCCGAAAACAAATCCAGTCGCCATACAAACCTCAAAGCACAAGGAAAATATAAAACATAAAAACAAAATTATTCCTCCCTGGAATCGGTTACAAGAAATGATGCCGGTTGGTGAAAACCTTCAGGAAGCCAATTGATTCATGTATATTCTCCTCTCTCGATGAAAGCAAAAGTAAGTGTAGGGACATGGGATGTCCGCACAATGTTTAAACCTAGCAAAGCTGCTCAGATCACTAAACAGATACGAAGATATATCATAGAAGTACTAGGAATCTCCGAGAACAGATGCAATCGAAGTGGACTCTCCAAACTGTCAACTCGAGAATCAATAATATACTCCGATATTCTCACCCAGACGACAACCACAAGCACAGCACACTGAGTTTTCCAGTGGCTATCATCATGTCCCCCCCACCCCAACAGCATCAAACGCTCTCTCTCTCTCTCTCACTCTTCTCATGCAGTGGCAACCAATATCCTCAACCATCAGGATCATGACAACAAGGTTCAAATTAAAAGGAAGGAAGGAAGGAAGGAAGGAAGGAAGGAAGGAAGGAAGGAAGGAAGGAAGGAAGGAAGGAAGGAAGAAGGGAAAAGAAGGAAGGAAGGAAGGAAGGAAGGAAGGAAGGTCACAATCATACAATGCTACGCTGCGCACCTACAAATAATGCACAGCAAGAAAACAAGGAGGAATTCTACAGACAACTCCAATCAACACTGGACAAGACACCATACCAGTCGGCGATGGCGACATCAAAATTCATTCTAATGGGTGGGGTGACATGAATGCCAGCCAAACTCGGAGCAGACAACACAGGAAGAGAACTAATCATGGACCGAGAAGCACTCGGTGAAATGATGAATGACAATGGAGAACTGATTGCAGACTTCTGTGCATTCAACGATTTGGTGATTGGAGGTGAGGCGAGGCGAGGCGAGGTGAGGCGAGGCAGTGTGTACAAACACACAAGGATATTCACAAGGCACCGACATGGATTTGATTTCACCAGACACCAGGACACTCTACACTAAAAATCAGATCGACTTCATTCCAATCTGAAGAAAGTGGAGAGGCAGCCAGCCTACTTGACACAAGGTCAGATCAAGAAGAGGAGCAGATGTATGTTCACACCACTCACTTCACCATCTAGTCCAAGGAAACTGTCTTCAAAATCAAATTGAAAGCCTTCAATGAAGCTGGTGATAGACGACCACAGTTCAAGTTCAACACCCGAAACACAAACTGAACTGAAGTGAAGTGAAGGACGAAACTACAAACGACATCTTCACGTCAATCAGTTAGTCAGTCATCAGGGAAAGTGGGAGACATTAAGCAACATCCCTGAAGAAACTTGCATGGAAGAACACTGGAAGTCTTTGAAAGGGACGTGGAAGGAAATCTGCATAACAGAAGCAAGACAAGGAATGCTTCTCGACGGACGGACACATGGAAGCAGATAGAGGAGGGAGAGGAGGATGGTGAATCAGAAGTTGAACCAGTGCAGTGCAGGAACGAACAAAGTCAAGAGGAACTGAACACAACCTATAAAACACTACACTGGACAAAGAAGTGAAGAAGAGTGCACGCAAAGACAAAAGACACTTAAACGACACACTTGTAAGTGAAAAAAGCATCATTCGCTATGAATTGGTTTAGCCTTTCTCCACTCTATGAGCTGTTTCGTCTATTGTGACACAAAGAAATCCTAATTCTTTGCTGCATATTTATTACACATTCAGTCCATTCAAAGTGAAATGAACAGAATCAATAAACTTGTTGTTTGCGTTTCATTTTTCCCTCTTAGCTGACATTATTTGAAGCCTTTCTGCAATATTTTACTCTGAAGTCAACATTCTTACCACCTGCGCTATTAACCTACATACCTGATAGACACAGATGTCAAGGCGACAAATACATAGAAGGTGACCAACTATGCTTCTATCTTATGTACCGAAAGTGCTGCCTCAAACTGCTCATTTCAACGTATCATTTTGTAGGTATTACTTTAATATGCTTTCTTTTCATACATTAAACATCCTCTCATGCCCTACCTACTATTATACAACAGTAGTTGTTTACCTGTGACATGTATTACTCATTACTACAAACTTCAGGATCAAATTATGAGTCGATAGACTTGAACAAGCTGTGCATTAGAATGAGTGTTTTTTTTAATAAAGGAAATGCAGTATTTGCAAAATTTCACGATCTCGTGAAAATCACTTCTTCAGGGAATAAAATATGCACAAGTTATTACATGTTCAAATAAATGGTTAACGGAAACAAATGTGATCATGTTTTAACTAGAGAAAAAGACAGATAGGTGAGACATTTCACATTATGTTGAGTCAGTATATACCCAACAGAAAAGCTAGGATATCCAAATCAACCATATAGAGACTGTACACACAAACAGATACACCCAGACAAACTGAACTCTACCTTCATATACTATTTTTAACACGTTCACTCCTATTCATATATGCATACAGTTTCACATTTTAACTTGACCTGGAAACCACAAACTGATAATTGATAACGCTAACATTCAACCCTATCTTGTCTTCATTTCCATGTGCACTTATGAACAACGTGATCTATTTCCTTTATCGTCTAATGAACATGCGATAACTTGTTCTGAATTTATTGTTTATAAAAGCGACTTCCATAAGGTCAAAAGACCTAACACATTCATTCTTCGATCTCAGCTATTCTCATTTTACACACATGTATCTCATTCGTATCATTCACTGTCCAACTTGAATAGGTCGGTTGTTTCCAGTTCCATCCATGTGATCGTTTTGCTGTTCACATGTGGAAAACAGTGAGTACTACATTGTGAAATTCGCTACTGTCAGTTTACATACAATTTAGATAAGATCTGGTATTATCTATCCCCTATTGAATTGGTGAGTTGGATTCGTGCAAACATCGATCAATGACGACGAGGACGGTCAACCAGTATCCACATAGAAGTGCGCAAGTAGAATCACATGATTCGGTTGAAAAGCGCTGGTTGATGCTCACAACACTGGTTCCTGTAGATATGATGAGAAGACTGACATTTGAAGTGCATTCACAGCTGAACTCAGTGAGATGCGTAATAATGATTTCTGTTTGGTTTTACTAGTCGTATCATTTTTATACTATTCACGTAGACATCACCACATCACTTGATAGGATCCACTGTGAGTTTACGAAATCTATGGGTGTCATCATCATTTATTTGTTTATCATCGGAGGTTGTGTCTTGTAGTTAGATCATATGACGTTGACTAAATCGAAGCAAATTCATTGAAGGCATTGAGCTACATGAATACCACAACAACTTAGAGCCATTTCCCAATTAATGGTACTCTTGATTCTGTAGTTTAATGGGTAACTGTGTCGCATTTGACGTGATGTACCCAGTTTCAGTGTCATTCTTGAATACTATAACCTACAGATGACAGATAGTAAATAGGACAGAACATGCCTTCTCCATTCCCGTGCTAGTCAACATAAATCAAATAACTTTAGATTACTCACCACGACACCAACTCCATTCTCCATTTCATTTCCACGAGACTGCATTCAATGCCTATTTGTCACAAGGGATATACACATTCCATTGGTTGAGGAGGAACAATACTCACCACCGTAAAATTTGACACTCATTTCAGTGAATTTAGCCAATTCACAAAGGTCAACAAATTCTCCCCCCTATTTCAAAACTCACCTCATCTGACAGCTATACATAAAATTACATGACCTAAAACTTATCGTACGATGTGACCTACAGTTGTGCCATGTATGCATGCATAATTCATGAATAATGCGATAATTATTAAATATTGTGAAACAAACTGTACGTGAGCACACTTGATAATATTCTAGAATAGTAGTTGATTGAACTGATAACAATCATGCACAGAAGTATCTCTGATCACTGATTGGGAGCACAAAATAATGAGGATCAACTGTAAGCGAAAATCAATACACATGACATGATAAATGAGTCTGAAAATCTCTTATCCTGGCAGTTGACAATAAAATTTACTTTTGTTTGATAAGTACTAAGTGAAAGATTTCATCGGAACTCTAGTACATTAGAACAAAGTTAGGTGCAATCAGTTTGTGAGCTATGAGAAAGAGTAGATTGCAAGCTATAGCAGGTCCATTGATACTCTGGATTCAGTAATATCCGTTGAATTTCCATGACAATTATTATTATTTGTCTTTCGATTCTTAGTCAAACATAGGGCTTGAGTAGCACCTCTCCATTCCACTCTCTTCTCTGCAAACTTTTGAACCTGGCTCCACAACTGCCCATACGCTTTCACTTCTTCCTTATACGATCTCCTCCATGTCACCCTCAACTCGCACGCCCAACTCGTCGCTTTCCACCGGGGTTCCACTCGACGGCCTGACCTGACGCGTCATGTCTCAATCGGTCTTCTCAGTCTATGCCCAATCCATCTCCACTTCCTTCCACTGCATATTTGTTCAGTGATAGGTTCTTCCTTCTTTGGTTGGTTCCCAGAGCTCCTTGTTGCTTATTCTTTCTGGCAATCCATCTGATCTTCAGTAGCGAGTGGGCGTAGGCAGTTGTTGATGAATGTCTGTAGTTTGTTGGAAATGCCTTTCGTAATGCGTCAAGTCTCTGAAGCATATTCAAGCACTGACTTGACTGAATTGGTGTTGAAAATCCGGATGTTGTTCCACATGCTGAGTGGAGTGGAGTAGATCTCCACACTGGTTTCAGGCTGATGAACGTCTCTCTTGCTTTTCCGATTCTGACTTCGACATCCTCTTCTGTACCTGTGCCGCCTGCAGTTGAAACAGTGCTGTCTAGATAGGTGAAGGAGGCTACTTCCTTTAAGTTTCTCCTGCTGATGGTGATCGGAGTTTGTTTTTGTTGTTGTTGGTGGTGGTGGTGGTTGGGTATCTTCATCACCTCTGTCTTCTCTATATTCACTTGAAGTCCCATCTTCGCTGCCCTGCCCTGCCCTGCCCTGCCCTACCCTGCTTCTTCTGTCAACTTGTTAGTTTTCGCCTGTAGATCTTCAAGTTTGTGCCACAAGACATCAGACATAAGTCATTGGGGAAATCCAAGTCTACTAGGATCATTTCCGTGGTCCAGCTGGAGTATCCCCCACCCTCTTCTCGCTCCCCAATGTTTGTTGCATGACCGAGTCAAGTTGACCACAATCAGGAATATCATGTGTGATAGTAGACAGCCTTGTTTCACTCCTGTCTTCACTTCACTTCAAAGGCATAACTGAGCTTCCCATTGTGAATTACTTGGCATGTGGCATCTTCATATAGTTGTTGAATGAGGCGGATAAAGGTTTGCGGTACTCCATATTGTTGAAGCAGTTTCCAAATTACTTCTCGGTCGACGCTGTCAAAGGCCTTCTCAAAGTCGATGAAGTTGAGGTAGAGAGCTGATTGCCATTCTATACTCTGTTCTATGATGATGCGAAGCGTTGCAATTTGGTCGGCACATGATTTGTACTTCCTGAAGCCTGCCAGTTCCGGTCGCAGTTTTGAATCCAGTGCATCCTTAAGCCTCTCCAGGATGATGCGGCTTAATATTTTACTTGGGGTGGACAGGAGAGTGATTCCGCGCCAGTTCTTGCAAACACTGAGGTCTGCCTTCCTCGGGAGTTTGACAAGGTAACCCTTCTTCCAATCAACTGGCAGTTACCTTCCCTTCCTTCCACACCTTCTGCAATAGTGGTGTGCTGTGGTGTGTGTGGTGTGAGCATGTCCACTGCTGTTGTCTCTGCGTCTGCTCTCAGTGCTTCTGACGGGATTCCATCTGGTCCTGCTGCTTTCCCACATTTCAGTAGCTTTATGGTGTTCAGGACTTCGACTTTTGTTGGAGGATTTATGTTCACTTGTAGTTCTGTGGCTGGGATGCAGGAGGTATTTCTGGACGAAATGCAGGTGGTGGTGGTGGTGGTGGTGGTGGTGGTCGATTCAAGAGCTTCTTGAAGTGGTCGGCCCATCGTCTCCTTGGTTTCTCTTCTTTCGTAATTAAATTTCCTTCATCACCTTTCATCGGTTTCATCTGTGCTGTGTTGATCTCTTCCAGACAGCAAGTGACCTGGTTATTTGATACAATGTTGTCAGGTCTCTGTCTCTCCTACTTCTTGCAGCAGCCTGTTCTGCTTCACTTACCAGTGTTTCGTAGAAGTGTCTTTTGTCTTTGCGTGCACTCTTCTTCACTTCTTTGTCCAGTGTAGTGTTTTATACATTGTACTCAGTTCATCTTGTCGTTGAGCATCCTTGCACTGGTTTATTTTCGGCTTCACCATCCTCCTCTCCCTCCTCTATCAGCTTCCATGTGTCCATCGAGATCCATTCCACTCCTTATCTTCTTTCTTCTTCCTTCCTAGTACGGCTGTGCAGGTTTCTTTCCACATCTCTTTCAAAGACTTCCAGTGTCCTTGCACACAGGTTTCTTCAGGGATGTTGCTCGATATCTCCCATTTTGTCTGATGGCTGACTGACTGACTGACGTGAAGATGTCGTTTGTAGTTTCGTCCTTCACTTCACTTCAGTTCAGTTTGTGTTTCGGGTGTTGAACTTGAACTGTGGTCGTCTATCACCAGCTTCCTTGAAGGCTTTCAATTTGATTTTGAAGGCAGTTTCCTTGGACTAGATGGTGAAGTGAGTGGTGTGAACATACATCTGCTCCTCTTCTTGATCTGACCTTGTGTCAAGTAGGCTGGCTGCCTCTCCACTTTCTTCAGATTGGAATGAAGTCGATCTGATTTTTAGTGTAGAGTGTCCTGGTGTCTGGTGAAATCAAATCCATGTCGGTGCCTTGTGAATATCCTTGTGTGTTTGTACACACTGCCTCGCCTCACCTCGCCTCGCCTCGCCTCGCCTCGCCTCGCCTCACCTCCAATCACCAAATCGTTGAATGCACAGAAGTCTGCAATCAGTTCTCCATTGTCATTCATCATTTCACCGAGTGCTTCTCGGTCCATGATTAGTTCTCTTCCTGTGTTGTCTCCTCCCAGTTTGGCTGGCATTCATGTCACCCCACCCATTAGAATGAATTTTGATGTCGCCATCGCCGACTGGTATGGTGTCTTGTCCAGTGTTGATTGGAGTTGTCTGTAGAATTCCTCCTTGTTCTCTTGCTGTGCATTATTTGTAGGTGCGCAGCGTAGCATTGTATGATTGTGACTTCTTCCTTCCTTCCTTCCTTCCTTTTAATTTGAACCTTGTTGTCATGATCCTGATGGTTGAGGAAATTGGTTGCCACTGCATGAGAAGAGTGAGAGAGAGAGAGAGAGCATTTGATGCTGTTGGGGTGGGGGGGGACATGATGATAGCCACTGGAAAACTCAGTGTGCTGTGCTTGTGGTTGTCGTCTGGGTGAGAATATCGGAGTATATTATTGATTCTCGAGTTGACAGTTTGGAGAGTCCACTCCCGTCCCTTCTGCTTTGGCAAATTCAAAGCACTTCAGTATGATACCTCCTTATCTCGTTTGCAATCTGGGCTGCCTTTCTGTGTTCAAACATTTTGCGGATATTCCATATCGTCACGTTTACTTTTGCTTTGGTTGAGAGAGGCGAATGCATATCTGCCAATTGGCTCTCCGAATGCTTACACCAATCTGGCGTCATTTCGCCTCTCCGATTCCAGTGAGGAATAATTTTGTTTTTAATTTTTATATTTTGTTTGTTCTTCGAAGTTTCTTTAGCGGTTAGATTTGTTTTGCGGTGTAGGGTTGCTAGCCGTATGCCCAGCCTTCCGTTTTTACCCGAGCTTAGGACCGGCTAGTAACTAGCGCACAAGTTAACCAAGGTAGGTTTATTGGATCTTTAGGTTGCACAAATTAAAACCTAATCGTAATCTTCATTTTAACTATATGAAACCTACCACTTTATTCAAAGTAAGTTCGTGGTACCGATTAAGTGGAAAAATAACAAATATACAACCGTATCCCTATTGTTGCACACAAGGTCATTTCGAAGTTGTTCAAGGGCTATAAAATCACCATTGTTCCACTTTAAAAACTACCTTTCCAATGAATTTTATTGAACTGTATTCGCATAATATTTGAGTCTAAAATTGTCTTTGATGTAGCTCTTTTCTGAGGAGATATCCCTGAACTATGTAATATTACCACCTGATTATTACAAGTAATCTCACTGTTTATAAAATATTTTCATTGAGTCATTCAAAACGAACAAAAAATGTTTTTCTTTTCGAACGAATAACTTTCAGCAGCTGTACAATAGTAGTCATAGTAATAACAAATAAATAGATTAGTCTGTTACTGGCTAATAGGTCAACATTAGGTCATCAGAACAGAATGTTCTAGGGTGAAATAGTAGATCGATTGTGGAGTTAGAAAGGGATTGCACAATCATGGCGTGAATAACGAAAATATACAGTTGATGAAGGTGATAACTAGTATTAACGTAGGTGTACAACTTGGTCACTGTGATAGAATTTTATCCCATATTAGATTTGCTTATTTGATTTATAACACATAGTGAGTGATCTCGTATTATTTACTTGATGACGTTTCGAGCATTAATTACTTATTATTCATAATTAAATCAATGTAATCACACAACTTTCGACATTTGATCTTTATAGTTACGTCACCTTATATTCTTCCATATCTTTGGTATGGATGTTGCATC